AAAACACGCCGCGGTGGTCGGCCGGGGACAGGGCGCCGGGGAAGGGCTGGAGCGGGGTTCTTAAGCTTCCTCTCGGGGTGCGTTGCCGAGCAGTTGGCCTGCCCAGCCGGCTGGCGCTGCCCTCAGCGGCGGCCTTGGCCGGGGCTGGGCCTGCCCTGTCTGCGGGCCGCGTCCCGCTTGCGGCGTGGGCCTGCCCTGCGGAAGGCCAGGCGTGTCGGTGTCGGTGAAAGCATCATCCGCCTGTGTCGAGCGCTCAGCTGCGCGATACCGCTTGCTGAAAATACTGCACGAAGAATGGCTTTCAAAAGCGTTCGTCTTAGGGAAGCAAACGTTTCTTGAGCAGCTAGTCAGGGGTCGCGGTGTCACATGAGGATGTCACTCTGTGCTGCCTCGGGACTGATAGAAGCTTCTTAAAATAAGGACAGAAGTATCCACCCTTAACGGCAAATAGATGATAGGAGAAACATGCAAATAGACAGTCAAGGTGACTTGCAATCTCTAAAAATACCTGCTCAGTTAACACAAACAGCTACTTTCAGATGTTGGCAACAGATCTTGGATCTACCTTGAGGTGAAAGCTCTCAAGTGCAGTCTTAATTTCGTGCCTGTCTGCGGAGACTAGCAAATGCGTTGCTGTTGCATTAAGTGGGCATCATAAGTTGTTGTGTCTCTGTGCGAAGGAAGAAAATGGTGGCATATTTTCTGGTGAAACAGTGAAAATACAGAGCACAACCTTCCAGTGAGATAAACAGGTGAAGTTAGTACGATAAGGACAATGTATGCCAACAAAATTCTGTTTTATTTCCTTTGCAGCTTGGGAATCCCAAAGTGCCCTTCAGTACTTAGTGAAAAAAAAACCTTCAATAACAGCAGCAATTCCAGTTTTCTGCTTGCTTTTCAGATACAGCCACTATATTCTAATACCTTAGCAGCTTGAGCAAGTGCTTCTGGTTTGGCATTTGGTAGCTAGAAACCTTGGGAGGTGCGTATGCTGCATGTCCAACATAGGATTGTAGAGAAGAGGTGCTTGGTGAACTCTCTGAAGCTCTCTGATGTGCCAAGTACGTGCAAACACGTGCAAAAAGGTATAGTCAACTTAATGCTGTGTGCCAGCTCATCATTTGCTCCTGACATTGGATCACACAATCATAGAATAATTCAGCTTGTAAGGGACCTCTGGAGGTCATTTGATTCAACTTCCTGCTTAAAGCAGTGCTATCATCAAAGTGACAGCAGGTTGCTCCAGGCCTTGTCTGGTTGAGCTTTCTCTTGGAAGACTTTAAAATGGAATTGAAAGTTGGGTCTGAAATTTTGCCAAATTTGGAGCTTAAGGCCCCAAGCTTTGGAAAGTTACAGAGTTCTAAACAGTCTGAATGAAGCGTACTCTTCCTTGTTTAATTGGACATTGTGTTTCCTTTCCATTTTTGGTGTCATGATTCTGGTTCTACTATTGTGCAACAGTCTTCAGTGTGCACAATAGAGAGTTTTTTGGAAGATTAAAAGCAAGCAGAAAAGTATATTGCCCCGCAGCACGCAGATTTTCTCTTAGTAAATACAAAGCTGAAATATTTTTAAAGTAACATTTCTCTATACATTTACAAAGTCAAAAAGACTGATAAACCACTTTAAATTTGAAAGGTTCTGAGTATTTTGCCTGCATAATGGCTTTTTTATTTAAAGGCCAAGTACTGAGTCCTGCATTCATAGAGGCACAGTGTAATCAGCTTTATTTCTGTGTCCTTAACAGTGTGAAGTTCTTCCTCTGCAAAACCCAGCTCTTGTGCCTTACTTGTCCACTAGATGTTTTGAGCGTATTCACTCAGTGAGTCAAGGTTGATGGAGTGAAGATAGCTGATGTAAGGCTTTATCTATCTTAATCCATTCTTGTGGTGTCACAGTGTTTCTTAGCCTGTGAAGCCGGTCTTTGAAGAAATCCCAGCATTATTATTTGCACTGCTCAGTGTCTACAGGTCCCAGGTAAAGCATACTTTATAGAAGAATCTTAAATAGACTGAAAACTTCCTGGAGAAGCATATCGCCTAAGTAGGCAAGAAAGATGAAGAGGGAAAAAAGATAATAAGACCTATGGAAATACCTGTGTCATTCATGATGTGTTTTCTAGATGTCATCTGTGCTTTTCTTAAGTACTCAAGTTAAAAATATGATTTTTTCCCCTTGAAAGATGTCAGTATAGAAACTAAGTGGTTATATTAGTTGTGGGATTGAACTTTTTGCCTGCTAATGCAAATAATTAATTTCATCTGACACTCCTGGCCCTGCTGAAGCTGTAGGTAAAAGCACAACCTCAGCAGATGCAGTTCTCAGTGTCCTAAGGACTCCAGAGAAGGTAGGACTGGAGGGTAAAATAAGGTGAAAGAATGTGCAGCAGCTCAGCTCTTCCTTTTGCAGAGAGTATAATCACAGCACCCCTTACAAGACTTGGCAAAATTTCCACCATCCTATTTCAGCTTTTTTCCTCTAGGCAGTAGGTAGTCCACCTACACTGGAGAATGTCAAACTGCATTAGTATGTCATTTGATTCAGTATAAATAGCATTACTTCAACAACAGGATTGCGTGTGTATCTCTATAAATGTCCCTCTTTATACTCGCTGCATATTAAGTATGCTGTTGCCATTTGAAGTTACATTTCCAAACCCTTTTCTTATATGTAGTCTTCTAAGTGTGGTGTTCAGATTACATGTGCAAAGGTCATGTTATTATAGTTGTCCTCAAAGTCGCCTTTTCTGTCAGAGTCATGAACTATATCAAAAGTATATATGTGGTACTTCAGTTGAGGGTAACCTCAAGATGAATCTCCCACTTACAAAAAAAAAAAAGGGGGGAGGGGGTAGTACAGGATTAAAAAAATATCTTTGCCTTTCTTATAATTACATGGAATGATCGAAGAAATTTTAGAGGCAGCTACTTCTCCCTTTGCTCCCCACAGAAAAGAAGAACCTTTATGCATGTCTTACATCAGCTAGAGCACTCTCTGTGGTTACCTTGCGGTTCTATATTGATCCCACTGTGGCATCTATAGAATCTCTACGTCTGTTCTTGACTTCTAGGCAGTGGAGCTGGAAGTTCTTCTTCTGCCAGTTAAGATTTTGTCTAACCCCTGCTTTTTTACACCCGAGTGTGACCCCCCTTTGGCTAGCAGGAGTAAGGAATATTCTGATAGAGCATCTCCCTCAAGCATGAGAGCTTCCCATAGGCCTCGCAGATTCAAGTCCTCATAACCATTGAGTGTATCTCGACGTTCGTGTGGTTTGATTTCAGACATGCTTTTCTCTGAAGCTGATTATGAAACACACAAGAGTGATTTTTTTTTTTTTTTGGTGCATCTGTTTTTGTTACTTCATTCACGTTTTATGGCAGCTTTTCATGGGATTCTACAGTATACTTTGCAGTTCTTTCAAGCTTTTGAGATTGATAAGTAGGGTCCTTTTAAGTTTCAGCTCTCTGAGCTAGGTCGGTGTTAAGTAGTACTCCACATGTTTAATTCTCTGATTTCAGTATCTGTCAGGACCCGCAGCAAAACAATTCGACAAAGAGGAACCTTCAGAACAAAGATGAATATCGGGAAAGCTTACAGTGCCTTTAACGTCAGCAATGGAACAGATCTGGCTGTTGGCTTTACATCTTCCACAGTAGCTGTCTTTCTGTTTGGGACAAACTTTGTGCCTGTTAAGAAATTTGATACTGGTGATGGTAAACTTATTTATATTCTTCTGTTGGTTTTGGTATTTTTGCTAATAGGAATAGTATTTTACCACCAAATATGAGAGTTTCTCTAGCTAGAGTTATAAATATCATTACAGCCTTAATCTATAGAACATGTTTTAATTTTCTTTGCTAATGTTAGGGTATAAAACAATAATGTCCTGGTTCAGGATGTGGCAAAACTTTAGAAGAGCCTTTTTATGTGTTGTTGTGCACTTTAACAGTGATGGTGTGCATTTCATGAGCATTTCACAATGGGAAGTGAAATGTCCTTTCTTCTACCCTTGTGAGGATTCTCAAATACATACAGTGTTATTTATACTGTAAAAGTTGTTGTACTTTGGAGTATTGACTTTCAATTGTGGACCTAGCAAAAACAATCAAAATTTGAAATTTTAATACTTTTTATCTGGTGACTCAGTAAGAGGAAACAATCACTTCTATTTCCTACTTGGAATTTTATCACTTTATTGTACTAGGTTCATGTTGTATCTGCATGTTTATATGAGGCATAGTCAGTTACCAGATCCCTAGATGAATAAATCTGCCTTTATGGTACTGCAATGATAGTATCTGCATTACAGGCTGGATATAACCTCCCTCTTCTTTGTGCCAAATATGGTCCTAGCAAGACAAGGCTAGACTTTAAAGCAAAAATCTTAGTTCAGCTGGCATAAATTTAACTGGTCTGCCTAGTTGACCCTTAGAGAAGGGACAAAGGTAGAAGAGATCTGCCCAAAGTTTTTATCATCCTCAGTGTCCCAGACTATTGGAAAAGCCTGAGCCCTGAGCTTTGCAGGAGTTTTGCTTTGTCTTGTACAGTCGTCTGTGTTAGCTGCTACTAGGGTGGTGGGAGAAGTTTGCAGTAACTTGATATCCTCTTTGTCAAAATTTTCATGTGTCTGAGAATCAGGACTTGTGTAAACTTTGTCCAGCAAAGTATCCTTTGCAGCTGCATATGAAGAATGCACAGTGAGGAAAAGGTTGACAGAATTATAACACCATACTCTAAAATACGTCTTTTGAATATATTGTAACGTGATTCCCTGAAATTCACAAAGGAGGTGGCCACCTTTCAATTTTTTCTGTACTGTTTTGTCTAACACATAGTATGTGTTAAGAGGTTCGTACACGCAGTATTCTACAAGTTCTCTGTTTTATGCATTTGATTTTTCCATAGGCATGTTCTTCCAATGGATTCTCTGTGCCTCCATATGGATAGTTTCTTTGGTGGTCAATTTAATCCAGAATTGCCCCCGGTTTTGGCCTCTGGCTATGGTTGGAGGTTTTGTGTGGGCTACAGGTAAGGATAAAGAGATTCTATTTCTTGAATCACAAAGTAGTCCTAACTCTTCATAGAAAACACAGTGATAAAAACTTTTCCATATGTAAGGTACTAGTTATTTGGTAGTTACTTGGCTTTTTAAAGTCTTGGTATTAATGGAGCTGTATCTTATAGCAAATATTATTTTATTATGCTTATTTTATAAGCAGCAAATTCACACCAAAAATAACTTTTAAAATGGGATTGAGGAAAAGCCTGTGTTTAATGTATTTATTTTTAAAAAACACTATTTCCTACCACCTTGTACTTGCCTAAATTTCTTTGCCTTCTGAACAGTCACAGAATCTAAAGCAAAAATATACAAGATCACAGTCTAGTTTTTAACTGATTTTAATTTTGTGTTTTATATTTCAGGCAATGTTACAGTTGTCCCTATTGTTAAAACTATTGGCTTAGCTCTTGGTCTTTTGATATGGGCTTCGTTTAATTTGCTAACAGGTTGGGCAAGTTCAAGGTGAGTATGTTTAAGTCTCAAGTTTACATAATTAATGTTGCCAATTCTTCGTTAATAACTGCAGTGAAAACTCTTATCACCAATAAAGAGGATTTATCATATATATAAGATCTTGTTCCCTCTCAGTGGAAAGTACTCAGGTTAATTATTTTATCTTTTTGTGTTTCCTCTGTCTCAGTAGGAAGAAGAATGCCCAGTGATGTTCATTAACATAATTGGGTGAATAAATAATGTATTTGTTACAGTACAGTACACTATATTTTTCTTCTACAGCATGAGCTGATAAAATAATTTAAATTAACTTCAATTTTTAAATACCCAGATTTAAAAAAATCAGTGTAAATTAAATTACTTTAAAGATTAGGTTTGTAAGGTAGATGTAGCTTTTTGCAAGCCAGCTGAAGCACCAACCCAATATTGCAAATATAAACTTTATTTACATGAGTAAAGATTTACAAGACTGGGTTATAATTTGACTATTTGTATGCGGTCAGTGCAACTAACTGAAACTGGTTGAATATTCCAGGTTTGGTTGGTTTGGAATTGACCCAGAAGAGGTATCAAGACCAGTCTTAAATTATATTGGAGCTGGACTTTCACTTTTAAGGTAAAAATTTATTCTTAAAATAAATTTCTGTAACGTAAAATATATATTTAGTAACCACAGGGATAATTTAACTGGGGAGCAAGTGTATTGAAGTATTTTTTGCAAATTGATTTACTGCAGCATTCATGAACTATCCATACCCAGCTGGTCAGTGTTGTGTTTCAGAATAGAAACCTACGTGATACTCAGTACAGTTGTGATTCGTAAACACAGAAATGTATTTTTATGCTGGTAGGGATGTTCAAGGCAGAGCAGTGATGCACTGAATTTCTCTCCGTAGCTAGGTTATTCAAATTTTATGAGAGAGGAAAAACTGACTAGAAGAACCTTGGTGAGAAAACCTTAGTGAGATTTTCAATCTGACTTCACTCGGTCAGAGGTACAAAGTCTTCCTCTTAACTGTAGAGTATGCCATAGGACCTCTTCCCAGATCCTTTGGGGTCCATGAAAAGCCAGAGACTTTACATTAGCTCTTATCCTTAGTGGTTACCTGTCTTGTATCTCTTAAGCCGCACTTACAACTCCCCAACAGTGACTTCCTTTGGGATCTTCAGGACTTCTATGCTTATTTTTTGTTTATTATTTGTATGAGTGTACATTTTCATCCAAACACAGAAGGTCTTTGTTACGTAGCAGTGCTCTTGCTTTCCAACTGGGTGGCCAGGAAGGCCTTTCTAGGAACTCAATGGTGGTCCTAAATCCCAGGGGCAGTAGGCTTGCCATAAGCATGCTAAGCAGCAGATGCACATGATGCCTTTAGGAAAAGAAGGGTGTTAAGAACATGGAGATGATGGGGCCATTCTTGATTACTAGGAGGGACCTGCTGCCTTAGATTCATGAATTTTGCTTCCACTCTTCCTCTTTCCTAAGAGTCCGCAGCTTTTCACCCGTTGCTGTTACATGTAGCACATGATTTTGTGAGGTACTCACAAAATAGTAGCAGTACTGCTATTTCTGACTGATGAATTCATTCACCTCACCACCTGCTTCCTGCCTGTTGCTGAAATATCATGGAGAAGTGATCAACAGGGAAAAAGGTGGTGACCAAACATGTTTTCCTGACAAGCTGCACAAAGCCCGTGTATGTTGCTCTGCAGAGCTCAAAAGCATGTATTTCATTTTAGCCTCCTCTGTGGAACCTGTATATGTTTGCGTAGTCCCTCTGGAGGAAGCTGATGTCCTTGTATGTCTGTCCTTATTCCTTCAGTAGGAGATGAATTGTACTTCAAACAGAGATGTTCTGTTTACAGTTATGAGGAGGAATTCCTAAATCATTAAAATATCTTTCATAAAAATAAAACCCAGATCCTGCCAGTTCCGGTTACATGTGTTTACCTGATTTCCAGGAGCTGGACGTATCCTTTCTTCTTCATTTTATTCACTTAGTGCACTGCACCACGACTGAGCAATACCCCTTCTCCTTGCACGTATGCGTGAGGCCCTGTAGGACCAGTATTCCCTCACTCACATGTGATAGAAGACTGAAAATTAGTTTTTTTTCCTGGAGCCCAGAGTCAACTCTGTGCAGCTTTAAGCTGTTCCATATAGACTTTTCATGCAGATGTTCCATTGTATGTGTGGTTTAGTACAAAAGGGTACAGTTAACTAAAGCAACTGTTGTTAACATGTGGTTGTAACTACACACTGTAAAAAGGAGACATTTCAATCCCATTACATAGAAGAGAGATCTATAAAGTCATACAAAGACTAATTGCTTTACTTACTTTCACTTGTTTAAGACTGTTAAAAGCAATTGTATTTTAAAAATATGTTGAAGTGACTCTAGGGCCATAATGAAAATAAATATGCCTCCAAATATAACTTTTGTCTCTGGACACTTAAATGTTACATCCTTATGAGCTGACATGGTATTTATTGGTGTATTTTTCTCTTCTGAGTGCTGTCATATTTCTTTTTATAAAAACTGAAGTCCAGAGTTCTTCTACTTCATTAGAAAGCACGCCTTTACTGAGAGAAAGTGTAAGTATTCTACAGTTGTTTTTTTACAGCAGTGAAAGTACATATCCATTTAAAACCAAAAAAAGTTGCTTAATGTTAACCATATTTGCTAGGATCTGTGGTAGACTTCATAAAACTATGTAAATATGCATTGATTGTGTTTAGTTTGTGGATCTTGTATATCCAGTGGAATGTGAGCAACAGAAAAGGTTTTCCCAAGTGTTCTTTCCCTGTTGTCAGCTTTAAATGACTTAGAAGTCTTTTTTCATTATGACAGAGATTTATTATATAAAAGACAGAGTGTGTTACTTTCCTATCTGAGAAGAAGAAGCAATTCTAATTAAAACTTAGGTGAAAGGCAATGGTGTATAACTTATCCACCAGATTTTTTGACATGTTACAGAGCCAGGAGACTCTGAAGGGTCGCTGATTCTCAGCATCAGCTGTGGCACAGGTTGGAGGCCAATGAGGGGTGCCAGACTGGCTGTTGCTCCTTCAGGAGCCCAATGTATGCAACAAAAGCTGGAGAACAATAGGCTCCTACTACCATTGTACCTTATTCTTGTAAGTCAGTGCTCAGTTGCTACCTGATCGGAGACCCCCTCAGAATTTTCTAGCTGTGCTAATGCTCACTAGAGATTCCAGTCTACCAGACAAAATCACAGAAGACAATCTGATTGCAGGATTAGAATAAAGGGACGTTGCAATTTGTTTGTGCTGCAGACAGGGGTTTTAATTTCTCTGTTTGCAAATAGACCTAATATTCTCATAGTAACACTAGAGCTATCAACAAAAGGCAAAACCACATCAATAAAATCTATCGATTAAATCATTCATCAAATTTAAGGAAGGACAAGTTCTGAAAATCAGATCTACCTACATGCAGATTAAAAAAAAAAAAAAAAAATGCTAGTGGGTGCTCTGTTATGCAGTAAACCCAAAGTCCATATCCAATCTCGTACTTGTAAACTTCAAGGTAGGTAGATCCAATTATTAGTTGCTTTTATTAAAAAAAAATTTCTACTTTCTTCAGAGTATTTCTGTAAATTCTTTTTGTTTCTCCTCTCATTTTCATTTTATTTTCTTAGAACAAAACTGTGCTGTTTAATTCAATGTTTGAGATTTAAAAAAAAAACCCTAAACTAAACTTGCGTGAAAACTCTTGGTTTTTTGCAGTCTATTAATGTTTCTGAAGATAACTCTGATGACTCATGGGTGGACAGACTTTCTCCAGCAAAGAAGAGACTTATGCAAGTTATTAACAGTTCTTTTACTGGTGCAGGCCAGGTAGCCAGAGAAAGTAGTTGAACAGAGGGTAAAAGCAGAATTTGTGTCCTGTGGTTTTCCTAGCACAGTCATGCACTAATAAATAACAGGTTTTAAAGTACTAGCGTAGCGTGGATATCTGTGTATGAATACCTGCACAACTAATCCGATTATTTCCTTTGCATTGTCGTGTGCGCTTTACATTACCAATTAAGTTTTAGTTACTACTACAAAAGAAGAACATATGGTAAGGCAAATAGCAACTAAGTAATTACAGAGCTGTTTTTATCACCTGGTTGATTGGCACTCCAGCATAGGAGGAGCCTGTACTAATGCAGGCTTCCAGGTATCGTTTCCAAGTGAATACTGAAGTGCTCCAAAGTGGAAGCAGCAGCTACCAAGGGGCCAGTGTGGGGAGTGGAGACAGCCAAGAACACAGTGATCTGGAGGTGGAGAAGGGGACTAAAGAGGCAATGAACCTGAGAATAGTTACAAAGAATACATAGACTGCAACAGTGAAGCTGAGGGTGGGAGCATTTTAATTGCATGTTTGTTCATTTTCTCCTAGCTCTGCTTTTAGGAAATTCGAAAAAAGCCTTGTCATTAATGTAGACTGCAGGCTCTTGGGGCAGGAATTGTCTGTTACTTGGCCACAAAGTATAGGAAAACTAAGTTACTATGTTGGACCATTTCTACTCTAGAAAATAAAAATGTGCTAAAATGTATTATTTTTATAGTGTTGCTAGCAATTTTCGTACGCTATGCAGTCTTTATCTGCAATACTGGACTTGCCTTAAGTGCATTGTCTACTTCCCTAATTAACACTAGGCTATTTTCTCTGGCTTTGCTCTTTTTAAAGAGGATGCAGCCTGGCTGTAGTAGCTGGAATACTCTATGGTTCCAGTTTTGTACCAGTACTTTACATCAAGGACCATGGAAGAAGAAATGAAACTATATATGCAGGAGCAAGTCAATTTGGTAAAAGCTAATAGATCACTTCTGCTTTACTTCATCAGTATATTGTGTTCTCCTGCTTTTGTAAAGGCATAGAGTGAAATTCTTGATATGCCTGAAAATATACCGTGACAATTTACCAGTCCTGTACTAGGTTATATATTGTCATAATTATAGTATAGTGCTAGCACTCCTTTTTTCTCAGAGGTGAATTACACCATTGAAAAAACAGTGAGAAGCAGCCCAAAGGGGTACCATACTTAACTCATACTTATGTTTCAGAAGGCATTAAAAACTAGTACTCTCAAAATACAAAGTTCGTATGTCTGGAACATGAGGTGAACAAGGGCACAAGCTGTACCAATTGCTACATTAGTACACCAGTAAAGGAGGAGGAGAAGGATGATCATAACTGATGAGCAGAAGAGATACATAAGTACATAAGTAATTAAAACCTTACAGTTTTTGAAATTGAAACCTTTAATGTAAGCTACCATGTAATGTAGTGGTCAAAATTGAGACACATTCTTCAAGATAAAAAAAGGACAAAACTGTGCTGTGTGTAGCTTACACAGCACAGTCCATGTCTTGCCCTTAAATGTACAGAAAAGAAACAAGGCTATATACAGGAACACAAACGTAGATGGTCAGGAGAGATGTAATTCTGTAAAATCCCCGCCCCAGTTTTGTAGTCTCACCTGAGGGGTTTTTTAAGGTTTTCATCAATTAATTCAGTAGTCTGAGTAATAGAGTTCTGAAAATAACTTGCAGAAATGGCATCAACACAGCAGTTAATTCATGTTTAATATACATGCGATCAACGGGATACATTCACAGTCAGACTGGCAGCTGTATTTGTCACAATTACAATTGAATTTGAGTTGTTAGTAGTAGCACCTTACATGTTTTTGTCTATGTGGATGCTATCAGTGAAATAAATTTAGTTAAAACTAATAACTTATGTTTTAGACTAATATTGTTTTGTAATTTTGCTTTCAGATTTAGATTATGTTTTTGCACACTTCAGTGGAATATTTCTTACAAGTACTATCTACTTTTTGATCTACTGTGCAGTTAGGAAAAATAAACCTAATGTTTATCCCCAAGCCATATTGCCAGGTATGACTGTTTTTAAATTAGCAATTCATTTCAGTTACTACTTCTGACCGTTTTACAGTAATTAGTTCAAGCTATGTGTTGGAATTGTAGTTCGCCTTTCAAGTCTCTTAATTTGACTTTTTCTCTTTTGAAAGATCACTCCTATTAGGTTAATTAATTAAGGTTAGGAAACAGTGATAAATTTCATTCTAATCTAGAACAAAATGACATTTTGCATGGCAGATTTTCAAAAACTGACTCTGCCAGAGTGGAGAGCACATAGCCCAGAAAATTGTGAACTTTAATTAATGTGCTACTTCAGTTGGAATGGCTGATTTTATCCCTTGAGCTTTGGTTTACATTATCAGATCCAGCTTGTTGAAGTAGTTAACATACTAAAATACATACATACAATTTCTGTATTGTGCTATAAATATAAATGTTCCAGAAATTGCTGTCTATAGCTTGCTGTGCGTGTTTTTGATTGGGATTTATTTTTCTAGGGTTTGTTTCTGGTGTGCTTTGGGCAATAGCCAATTGCTGCTGGTTCATAGCCAATCACTATCTCAGTGCTGTGGTCAGCTTTCCAATAATTACTGCAGTAAGTACATAAAAAATAAAAACTGTGACTAGAATTAAAAGTGACGGGGTTTTTCCCTTCCCATTTGTGGAATTAAATTGAAATTATGACGTGCCTAGAGCATTTTAGTCAAGAATATGCATTGCCTTTTCTGCTAGTCTGTGCTAGCCTTTGGTTTTTTAGGAACACACGTGACTGACAAGCACCATCTTGGTCAATGGAATGGGACAAGTCTGCGTGGGGACACCTGTGCATGAGTCAGCAGATTCTGCTGGTCCTCCCCGACACGTGGCGCCGCACCAGTCCTCCCAGTTCCTGCCATGCCTGCAGTATACCTTACATTAGGTGGGGGAGGAGGAGGAAGAGGAGGTGCGCAGGCTGGGGGGAAGCAGTGGGGGCAGCAGCTCTGGGCCTGGCAGGAAAGCTGTCTGCCTCAGCCCTGCCAAGCTGAGCTGTCTTGCACCCGTTTCTGCTGGTGTATATGTGGCGCTGGTACTGCCGTGCGTGTTGTGCAGGTGGCGAAGCAGCGCTGCCACGGCAGGGACTGCTGGCTTCCTGTATTCCCAACTGCCTGGAGCTGAGGAGGGTGCTGGTGTGGTGGGACACCATGCCCATAAGTCCCTCAGTTTGAAAAAACAACACACACACACACCCCCCACAAAAAAAAAAGGGAGGGGTGTGGGAAACCCCAAGCCAAGGCCAACAAAACTGCAGGCTCTCCCGCCAGGCAGTGCTCAGGCAGACGGCTTCTGCGCCCCCACCGCTGCACAGAACTGCTCCCCCCGCTGCTTCTCCGCTTGCCCGTGTGCCTCCCCGCAGGTCCCACCTCTGCGCCCCGGGAGAGGCCGCTCACTGCCAGGGGCTCGGGGCTCCCTGTGGCGCCAGGCAGAGCCCCCACCGGTGTTCGCGGGCTTTGTGGAGTTCGCTGTGCGGCCGGGAGGACTGGTGGAATCTGCCAACCCAGAGAGTTGTCCCCGCGGAGAGTTGGCCATGGAGAGTTGTCCTAGACTCAAAATTGAAGGATTAATGGAAAGCAGTTTTGGTAGCTTGGTTATCAGTGTGCCTAAAGGGCAAGGATATAAAATCGCGAAATGAAAAATTTAAGGACAGCACTGATGAGAAACTGCCTGCCTGTCTGGACCACGGGTTCAGAACTGCTGCTTTATTTCATCGTAGAGAGAATTTCAGACATCTATTCATCACATCCCTTTAACAATTTGTTTAATTTTTCAAATGCATTCCTCTTGCAGTGTGCATTACCTAGAAAGTGAAGTAACACCTTAGCTATTATTCAAATAGTAGTTGGCAATTTCACTGGGAAGCAGCACCCACAAATACATCTGGCCTGAGACACTGTTTCCTGCTGGCCTAAATCTTTGTCCTATCAGCTGTACTGAAGATGGAGAGAGGAAGGTCACTGTCCAGACATCTGTCAAGTGTTTCTGAGAGCAGCTCTAACGGGAAGCTTTAACAGAGCCAGATTTTGCTTCTTGTTCAGATAATTTCTCATCTGCCATGAAAATTCAGATCATTGCTCCCACAGGGGGAAAACTATATTACCAGGAGTGCCTGGAAATTATCATTGTGTATCACTGTTTGCTGTTAGCTGGCAAATCTGTACAACATCACAGATAATCAGTAGGTTAGAATCCTGACCTGTCTATCCGACTGGCTTTGTGCTTTGTCCAGATCCCTGCTGTACAGGAAAAACATTTATGTTCCAGTCTATTGATACCATACTAAGCAATAAAATCAAACTTTTGTCTGACTAATATGTCATGCTAATAAAGGAAATGTTAGGAATATCCATGGTAGCTGCCAATAAGCCTGAATAGTCCTCTGAAATGTGATAATATTGTGGACTGTAGTCTGGACTAAAGTGAGGCATGTTATTGGGAGCCTACCAAAGGAATATATAACAGCCAGTGCAGATTTCACTGTGTAATTTAGAAAGAAGTTGTGCTTTCTCAAAAAAACAGTCTCTTGCCTCTTTAGCCCTTTTTGAAGTTTTTATTGTGTCTAACTCTGTAAAGATTTCAGTGATGTTTATGCTTTTGCCATGAGTGCTGTGATTGTATGGAATGGAAAGGCCTAGATCTGTTACCCAGACAAAATTCAACCACCCTGAGAACAATAATGAGAATTTTAATGAAATGCTGTAATGTTCAAATGAATCTTATTCTTTAGGGTCCTGGCCTTGTTGCTGCAATGTGGGGAGTCCTTGTATTTAAAGAAATTAAGGTAATCTTTTTAGGTCTCTTACCTAGTCTCTCTTGCTCTAGGAACAGCATGACTTGGTATACAGCTGTATCTCTTGGCTTTGTCCTCCTTACAAGTATTGCATTATGAAGCTGGAAGTCATATGCAATAATAAGTTTTCAAAGAAAGATGAAGATCTGTGAACAATTTTTACAGGAGTGAAGATTTGAATTTCGTAACTGTATGAGCAGCAGTGGGACTAATGAAGACTGTAGGAGGGCCAGGAGGCGGTATACCAAGCACAGCCTGAAAATGGTCTTTTTTTGAGCCAGTTTTTCAGTGGGGGCAGGGGAATGAGCAGTTGTCCTAATGACATAGACAAGTAGGTTAGACTTTTAGGGTCGGATTCACCGAAGGACCAAACAGTGAGACAGAGGTTAGTTGGCCTTGCTAATTACAGTGTAGTGCAGAGTTCCTAAACAGATATGGCAGTGATGGCCTAGAACAGGCTCGTTTACTCTACTGGATGTTAACATATATGGAGAAATTATTTTTCTAGTGGAATTTGAAGCGTTGAACGCTAGCAGTGTAATCCTCAGGTTCCAGCTAATCTGTCCAGGATCCATAGGTACCTAATTTGCCACAGGAGATCATCTTTCCCGATATTTTTGGTGACTGTGTAAAATGCGTTCGGCATCCTTGGATCAGGAACTAGAAGTTCTCTCTCCCTCCCACTGCAGATTAATGTTGAACCACGCCAGAAGACCATCACGTTCATTATCCAAATCTTTGTGACTCACCAAGTCTTTCATCCATTTTAGAATAGTCTCTGCAAAAGTGCTTACTGCTTAAAAATAATCTGAACATAGACAAAGGGCTTTTAAAATGCTTTTAAAAATGCTGAATTAATTTTGTGAATATTTTGCTAAGTGCATGGCATCACAGATTACTGATATTAACAGATTTGCTGTTCAAACAGTTTACAAGCATTATATGAAGTAAAATGGTATAAAATTTACCATTTCATGTAATGGATTTATTAATTTCGTCATAAAATGAAACCCTAGTTCTTTATTTTACTTGTTTTTGTGGTGTGTATTATGACAACATGATATTTTTATTTTTCTCTCCTTTGCTTATCCAGGGACTGAAAAACTACGTGTTACTCTCAGTAGCATTTTGCATCATTTTGGCTGGATCACTCTCCACAGCTTTTTCTAAAGTTTGAAAGGATCTTCTGGACCAGTAGATGGTGCTACTGTTTAATATAATCAGAAAGACAATAATGGTGTATCACAATACATACATAATATTCAAAATGTGTGTCCAACATTTACCCTAACTTGCTTCAGGCAAGTGAAGAAGAAAACCTTTGCTAAATGTTTCTATTTGGCATGAAAGAAAATCCAGAAATGTTTGGTTTTGCATTTCTTGGAACAGTGAGAATATGAAAGGATTTTATTAAATAAAGCTAAATGATTTTATAGTTACTAATTATTTTTTTGTTCTGATTCAGGTACTAAACTTCATGTCCTCATAAATTGCAGTTCACTGTTGTGATGGTGGATAAAGGGATTTTAATTCTTGGTCTGTAATTCTGTATGTGTTTGCAAGCTGGTTTCTTTTATCATAATGTTGTGTTTTACTGACTTGAATATAAAATATATCTTGGAATATTCTTTATGGAACTGATATACATGAAGATGTGAAGCATTGTTTTTATTTAGAAGTATTCTCTAAAGTCATCAGTTTACATAAAAAACATCTTCCAATCACTTCAGAATTTTGAAGGAAAATAGAAAAATATGGTGCTGTAAAATAAATTACTTGTGTTTGCTGCTAAACTGTTTGGTTGCAAGAACATTATGTGGAGATCAGGACCAGGATGTGAATAGTTGGGGAAGTTTGGATTTTTTTATTTCGGTTGCAAGTAAATGTTACATTTCTGTGTTGCAATATGAGCTAAGTGTGTGGTTCAAAGTTTTGTTTCCAAATAACTTTGGGCATTTTCTGAATACTTACTTTTGTTTTCTATGTAGCATATTCAGATCTTGAAATTTACGTATGGCATTTATTACATTGACACATCGTGCTGAAACTACCCAATCATTGTTCTACCCAGAGCAAGGTCATCGATATGTAAATCTCTGCTGACAGTTGTTGTCGTAACTTGTTTCTTAAAAAAAATAAATAAAAGAAGTAGGTTTCACAACATTTTTAGGCAAACTAGCCAGCTTCTAACTACCTGTCCTGCTAAAAGCCCTAATATCTGAAGGAAATTCCTGATGAGGAATGTTATGTCCACTGTTCCATGACCACCACTAACATGGAAAACTGTTTCTTACTCGTGGCAGCTAACCTTTATATCTGCAAAGCATGTTGTCTGAACCTCCCCTTAGTCTTTTCTTCAGTATGTTAGACAACCCCAGCTCCTCCAGACTTCCCTTGTTTGTAATGTGCTCATCACTTACCCTGCTCTTTTCTGAACTCTTAAGTGGACTAGATCTGCCTGGACAAGCTAGCCATGGCAGTCAGACTACAGTCTTAACAAAAACAAAGAGCAGCAGCAGCAGCAAGGTTTTGATTTTTTTTCCCATCCAATTTGCAAGTGCTGTTCGTCGTTACACATCAAAGTGTGACGCTTTTTGCCATCACAGCTTGATAGTGTTAACATGTTCAGATTGCAATCATAATTTCTCATTTTTCCCTTCCACCCTTCTTTGTCTATTACTTATCAGGTTTGATCTTAGAACTATTACTCAGCCTGCTTTTACCCATCCTGTGTTGTTTATTCCTACCCAGGTGTCAGAACTTGGTGTCTGACAGGCTTTTTCCCCTTAAGGCATTTCTCTAATTTTGCTCTGTATGTTAACCCTGTCCTCCAAGTTGGCAGCTTTTCCAGCCAGATGTCATCTGCAAATTTTATAAACATACTCTCTAATTATTGTAAATAATTTATTAAAATGCTGTATGATACTGGCCTTTGCTTACTTTTTGGAATCTAATATAATACTACTTTTCACTCTGACAGGGAACAATCGATTACTCTTTTGAGTACAATTTCCCTCTGCCTTACAGTGATTTTATTTAGACTTCATTCTCCCAGCTTTTATGTAACATGTGATACAGTTGTTCAAGTCAAGATACGTTATGTGTACCACCTCAGTAGCTGATACTGGAAAGAAAACTAGTCAGTTTTCTTTCCAATATCCAGGTCAGACACAATTTCTTCTTGACAGATCCTTCACTGTTACTTACCTGGCCAATATTCTGTTGACTCAGATAAGGAAGAGTAATTTGTTCACATGTTTTTGAAATAACTTTAATTAAATTGGACATTGATAACTGGAATATACCCCATGCCAGAAAATTGCTGATAAACAAAGAATTGGCAAAACCAAAACAGTGTTCTCAGGCTCCTCTACTTTACAGATATGCTTTAATATGTCAGTTATTTCCCAGTTGGTATCAGTTCTTACTCCTGTGTCACTGTTCGCAGCCCTGTTAACACTGAGTGTGATCTGTTTAAGTAAGACTGAAGGAACAGGGGAGCTGTGCACTTTATAATGTCATTGCTGAATAGTTACAGATTATCCTATTTCCACACAGGTACTGACGAAGATACTTGTCTTGTAACTCACTATTTTGCTAAAATAATTGCAATGCTAGACAATATTTATAAACATAGTGTGATTATAGCACCCGTCCACTTTGATGTACCAATGCAATTGCTTGGGAAGGACCTACCTACTACCTGTGGGTCACTTTCCACATTTGGTTAAAGTCTGCACATAGAGTCTACAGTATTCAATGAGGTAGGCTCTTCGCTAGTTTATAGTAAGTGAATTACTGATGCCTCAGTCTGGAAAAGCGTGTGAAAAATGGTATCTCCTGGTGGTCTTCCGCAGCTGGGCAAGCCACGGTACTCACCGAAGAGTCAATGCAGAGGGGCTGTCATGCAGTTGCTGGTCAGGGTGCACCAGCCCTGCTTGGTAATTTGTATCCCCAGGTGTGTGAGGAATAACCGAGCAGGATTGCTCAAGCCCAGTCACTGTGGGTGCTAGTTCATCCCTAACCTTGGCCAGCTGTTTCCCATCCTACACTACAGCGAGGTGCCCTAGGCTTTGCCTACTGCTGCAGAGCCTTGAAGCTTTGTTTTGTTTGGTGCTGTGAGTATCCTGAGTGAATACATCTTTGGTTTTTCAGATGTTTAGCCTATAACTTATAGTGACAGGACAAGCTGGCTACTGGTGTTGTAGTGGAAATGTTATGATAGTTTAGCAAGTAGTAGAAAAATTTGTCCTGGCAGTGCCTGGTTTTACTTGCCTTAGTTCAGATTCTGTTTTGTTCGCTGCATTTGTTATTTGTTGTGGTTTAAGATAAACGTGAAAATGGGTAATGAGACTGAATCTGTTCGTCCATCGCTTATTAGAGGTCTGGCTCTGGCTTGAGCTGGTTGTGCAAAAAAATGAAGCTGACATATCTTGGCGGATGAGATGCATTTAGGCTTTAGGTTTAAACTGTTACCATGCGCTTCAGTTTGTTTTAACTGAAGAGCCTTTTCTCATATTATCTAAGAAGCTTCTACATCTCTCTTGAGGGATGCTCTTAGGTTAGTGTCTGGTATGGGCTCAGCATCCATCTGCTGGATGTGATTACAGGGAACAGTTCAGTCTTCCAGGGCAGGAGCACCTTTACATTTCCTGGTTTCTGTACAAGGTCATTGGCTTTCTGAAACAAACCAAAAAACTGGACTCCTGACCATAGCAATTGCCATGTAAATATCAGTGGTTTGATGCAGTTCTCCAGTCTATGTTGTAAAGCTATCAGATGTGCAAACTTAATGGCTGACTGCTAGGGCATTAAGTAAAATTCTTGTTCGTGAAGGCTCAAGTATGACCTTTGTTAAATGCTTTCTTAGCAGATATCCTACGGGACTTGTCTTGCCAACAGAAAAAGGAAAAAAAAAAAAAAAAGAACAAAAAAATCACCTCTTGCAGCTCTTTTCTGGGAACAGTCCCTTGTGTTAATTCATCAGAATTTATGGTTTAAATATGTATTTATTCCAAAATATTTTCTTATGATGCCCACTTGGAATATATTGGATAGCTATTCCACTCACTTCTGAGAGTTTCTTGTTCTTGAAGTTTCAGGTTTGAGGTAATACTGGTACTTCTTTCGTGCTAAAATGCTGGATTAACAGTTCTCTGTTTATAGAGCTGTTTATGCAAAACAGTCTGGCAGCAGCTGAGTTTAATAAGAGAAAATTCTGCAGCTAATGTAAATTATCTTGGCTCTGTTTATATCAGCATGTTTTTATATCAGTGGAAGAACTGACCCAGAATATTTTTATTTTTTTTTAGGGGGGTGGATGGGAGTGGTTGTTAATTTTTA